ACTAGAAATCAGTGGTTAAGTTGTATTTACAACACTGTTCCAGAACACTTCAACCCAAATATTCAGATGTGTGCTGCACATTTTATGGAGGACTGTTTACTGACCCTGGTAGAGTAGACTACAATGCCGGCTGTTCTGACTGATAGTCTGTAAGTAAGTTTTTTATATATAAAGAATTTGCCACTGATGATTCAAACGTGAGTTTGTAGCAGTGTAGAGTAGGGCTTGTTGTTTGTCATTTCTCCGATCACAAATGCAGACATGGTTTTATGTTTACGCGGCGCGATGCAACGCAACACGTAAAAAGACAGTATAAGTCATTATAATCCATAATTATGTCCCCACTGGATGCAACGAATGCCTCGTTTATAATGGGTTTTCATGTTTTTGAATCGTCGCTCCGGCCGGACAAGGCATCACAGTATGGTTTGGGGGGGGTAACATTTCCGTCACACGCTTGAGGTATTCAGTCAATCACAGCACACTGGATAGCTGGCCAATCAGAGCACACCTCGCTTTTTCAGACTGATGAGCTTTGTAAAAATCGACGCGTTTCAGAAAGGCGGGGAATAGAGGAGAAACAATAATGTACAGTACGTGGAAAATAATGTGTTTTTTAACCTTAAACCGCATAAACACATTTCATTACACCAAATACACAAAATAATGTTCTTTTTAGCAACATATGACCCCTTTAAATGTATGAGTCAGTGACAAACAATGAAGAAACAAAAAAATTAAGGAAATAGTTTAAAAACGTGCCATGTTTGTAAAAAAATTTGTTCATATTTATGTTTGTTTCATTTTATTTTGAAAAAGCATACCACTTTCAGGAAAGGTTTAAATTTAATGAATATAAAAATATCATGCGGTGCAACTATCAAACAGAAAGTGAAGTCATGTTGTCTATACACCTTGAATATACGTTGTATTAAGTGTATACATATTAATCATGTTTTTAAAAAAATATTTAAAACATTCTACAATACTTTGTCGAGGTAAAATATAGTAGAAAGTAAAATATCATACATTTTTAATTAATAATTATCTTCGTAATATTTTCGTCGTAGAACATGACATTACGTAGAAACCTGAACTAATCTACACATGTTATAATGATAAATGAAGACGTCACTTCCTGTTTTATGTTCTTTTCACAACTACTGTACTGTATGCTCAAGCAATCTTTATGTGATGTCACTGTAATGGACACCTGTTTGTAATTTAACAGCTGTTTTTTTTTCTTACCAGTGATTTTTGATCAAAAGCATTTGGATCTATTGAGATGCCACTGCCCCGCCTGGACTCGGTCAAACCAAACACTGACTCGGGGCCGAGCGAGCTCTTCGGAGTGGGCATGGTCTTACCAGTGATTTTTGATCAAAAGCATTTGGATCTATTGAGATGCCACTGCCCCGCCTGGACTCGGTCAAACCAAACACTGACTCGGGGCTGAGCGAGCTCTTCGGAGTGGGCATGGGGGTGGCAGCAGTGCGCATGATGATTGGAGGAGGCAAAGTGCCTCGAGGATCTACATGCCCATTCGCTGACATCATCAGAGAGTACATCTTCAACTCTGTTGGTGGAAGTAAAAGGGGTTATTCAAAGAAAGTCATCACCATCCAGTAAACAAAATAAAAAATGATTATCCATGAATGACAAAGTAGTAAAAGTAAATGGAAGAAGGACACATAAAAAGGGCATTTTCCACAGTAGATTCATATATGTGAAATGGTGATGTGGTTCTAGAGGACCCCTGGCCTCTTTAATGGGGTCTGAAATGAACTTAACTATATGCCTGAATGAACAGGCTAAGAATAGGAGAAATCTATGGTGTGTAAAAAGTGTGCATTTTACATGTTAGCCCGGCAATAACATTTTATGTGTAAAAGAAAGTAACCTGTAGCTCGCAATTCCCCCATCTTCTCTTCCTCTTCAAAGTTCACCGAGCGCTTTTCCTCATCTGCATCTGACCTGTTAGCATCTCCCTGCAAAACACAAGAGCTTTCTGTGGACAGCTCCCAGTATTTCAGTAACCATTCAGCCCACTAAAGTGTTATTCAGGATGCACTGAAGCCAAACAGGAGCCGTTCTCTCAGAGGACGTCGGCCTCTGGCATCAACAACACACTGGCCTTCACTCAGTCACAGCCTGCTGTGCATACATACAGCTGTGGTGCCCATATTATCAGTACTCTGTCTGCTACCCTGTTAGACCTCGATTGCGGTTAGGGTTGTGCGAAGTTGGTGTTTGTTTTAGCCTTTGAAGGTTTACACCTACTAATAACAAGTTCACAATTCACACAGTCCCCAGCATGACAGATGGGCCAAACACTGCAGCACTGTATCAGCAATGCAGTTTAACTCCCCAGACTATCTGGAGAAAGCAGCTACTTTGTTTGTGCACAGATCTGCATGCTTAAGAAGCCAAATTCTGTAAATCCCTGAAGCACAAGTTCAACCTTGTTCAAGGAGCGACCAATTTGCATATTAGCTACATATTTAGAGTTCAAATTAACATATATAATGTACAGTATGTTCGATTTAATTCCCATTCGATATTTATTTAATTTCTATTTTGTAGATAATATAAACTTTACATGTACAAAACAAGTTGTGAGGACTGTGAAAAACGGCACAAGCGTCTTCATGCTTGTTAAGCTAAATCTGAAGTAATGAACACAAAGGCTTACAACTGTTAATCAAATCTTCATTTTAGCTTTAGATTTAGACATGGAGTTAATTTATTGGCTTATAAGATGTCAATTTTGATGTTTTATATTTATTTTTATACATTCATGGTGTAAAAAAAGCAGTTAATTGAAGCACATTCTTTACTTTTTTACATTTGATGCTGTATTAATTTAATTACTTAAAGTGTCCCAATATTTTGACAGTATTTTGATAATGTTTTGGATGTTTGGATATAAATTGGCTTTACCTGGATTACAGTTGTTCACAAGCTGTATGTGCAATAAAAAACTGCTTTGTCACTATAACAAACAATAGAAGACATTTGCAAGTTTTGTTTCGTAAATATCCACCTCGTCCAACAGTCTTATAAAGTATCCCATTACCATTTGGTATAGGAAACCACATTGCAAACGATTCAGTGCCTGAGTGAACTGTTCAAATGAATCAAACTGAATCACAAACAATTGTAAAGTTTGACTGATTAAATCGAAAGAGTCATTCATTTGCAAAAATGGTTCTGTTTCATTCTGATTCTCAACAGCTGATAGAAAACACACGTCTTGACTGCCGAAATATTATTTGGAAGAATGATACTTAGGTCAAATACTTATTTTTATGTTGACTGCAGTGAGCAATGAAGTTCTGGAGAAAGCAACTGCTTTGTGCACATATCTTTAGAAAAAATAAACACTACTGAAACTGAGCCAGCTGAAATAGATGTTTTTTTTTTTTGTTACCTCTGCCTGAAATCCCTCCACTAAGATGGCCACCAGTAGGTTAAAGAGCACATAATTCCCAAAAGTCATCAGAGCCACAAAGTAAGCTGCAGTGAGCAATGAAGTTCTGGAGAAAGCAACTGCTTTGTGCACATATCTTTAGAAAAAAATAAACACTACTGAAACTGAGCCAGCTGAAATAGATGTTTTTTTTTTTGTTACCTCTGCCTGAAATCCCTCCACTAAGATGGCCACCAGTAGGTTAAAGAGCACATAATTCCCAAAAGTCATCAGAGCCACAAAGTAAAGAGCCGCCCATGGGGTGGTGGAAGCCATTCCATTATAGAGGACCACGTTCCAGTCTTCCTGGGTCAGGATCTGAAATACAAACGTAAGCAGCTTGAGAAACAGAAGAGGACAGAGAACGGCTGAGTAAATAAAAAATCTGCGATGTATCAATTAAATGTGCAGTAGAGTAGTGTTTTGTACATATAATTTCCTGCATCTGAATTACATAGCGGGGGAAATTAATTGTTGAGTAGTGTTGAGTAGTGTTTTGTGATGATACTGTACAAACTATTCAAAGTTCTGCTTCTTACTGAAGTGAAAGTAATTGGCTGTCCCAGTCTAGCAATTAAGTCTTTTTTTAACTGCAAAATAATGTCGTGATAATCTAATGAGAATAGCTGCAGTACAGCATTATACAGATACAGTGCAGGTTCAGCAACTCAGCTTCATCACAGGAAATTGTGCTAATGCAGGATATAATGCACACAAAGGCCTTCCATTGTAGTCAGCTGCATAGTAGCTACTATATAGCTCAAGATATTGATATGGAGTTTATAAATAGGTTTATGGGATATACAAATATGTATAAATAACCCTAACCTGAGAGACATAAGCAATTAATTTATTTATGGCCAGTGTTGGGGAGTAACTAGTTACATAACAGTGTTACGTAATTTGATTACGAAATAAATGTAATCCATTACATTTACTGAGAATAAAATGTGTAATTAAATTACAGTTACTTATATGTCAACGATTACAAAGGGGGTTACATCTGAATATTTTTTGTAAAAAGTAGGATACGTTAAATAATATTAATTTGCCTGTTTTAATGTGCACGATGCCTTTAAAGGCCATTTAGTAAAGTGATGCTATTCTGATGCTTTTGATTGGTTCTCTTGTTTGAATCTGCAGTGCACCACTTCTGCCAGTTATTGTACATTAATCCACATTGCTGCTGAAAGCTTTAGGCTACAACCTGTCTGAGAGTTGATTAACTGATTAACAGTTGAAAACATTTGCTAGAAATTTAGAGAAGTAATCAAATGTAATCAGCTACATTAAAAAAGTAACTGAAATAGTTACACAACTTAATACATTTGAAATAGGGTAACTTGTAATCTGTAACCTATTGGATTTAAAAAATAACCTTGCCAACACTGTTTACGGCACACTGCATTTGATATGTCAATGTCTCAGAGTATTAAATAAAAGTTGAAAATAATGTTTCGTATTAAGGACAGGTCTACACTGTTTGAGGTCTACACAACTTTGAAATAATTTTTCAAAGCTGTAAACAAAAAGATTATTGGATTACGTAAAAATGTACAAATTAATTCAGTGTGTTACTTGCTATTTCTTTGTAATTATTGTGAAATTTACAAGCAATTTCTTAGTGAAAATTGTTTCTACACCCATTTTTTCCCCAGTGTATGCATTGCCTAACCCCAGCACAGTCTCTCTTCTGACCTGAAACACAGTGACAATGGCCCACAGCAGGGAATCAAAGTTTTTCCTGTCTGGAATGGTGTCTCCATTCTCCATTTGCAGGCTGAATTTGCATCCAAAGAGGTGCATTCCAAGAATGCTGTATTGACAGTAAAAGAAAAATGAAATGAATAAACATTTGAGCTAATTTCAGAATTATGCTGATGACAAGACAACACATTTTCAGCACATTACTACTCACAAACTAGAATTAAATTCTATAAATCAAGATTATAGTCTTGGTGACACTGCACACCAAGCTCGGTTCTAATTGGCTGAGTGAGTTGTGGGTGTGGTCTGCACCTGAATGTGTTTAATTCAGTGTGTTACTTGCTATTTCTTTGTAATTATTGTGAAATTTACAAGCAATTTCTTAGTGAAAATTGTTTCTACACCCATTTTTTCCCAGTGTATGCATTGCCTAACCCCAGCACAGTCTCTCTTCTGACCTGAAACACAGTGACAATGGCCCACAGCAGGGAATCAAAGTTTTTCCTGTCTGGAATGGTGTCTCCATTCTCCATTTGCAGGCTGAATTTGCATCCAAAGAGGTGCATTCCAAGAATGCTGTATTGACAGTAAAAGAAAAATGAAATGAATAAACATTTGAGCTAATTTCAGAATTATGCTGATGACAAGACAACACATTTTCAGCACATTACTACTCACAAACTAGAATTAAATTCTATAAATCAAGATTATAGTCTTGGTGACACTGCACACCAAGCTCGGTTCTAATTGGCTGAGTGAGTTGTGGGTGTGGTCTGCACCTGAATGTGAAAATGAAAAGCATGAGCAGCATGCAGAATGTAGCCACATTGTCCATGGTCTTCATCAGGACTACCAGCTGTCTGCGCAGAGCAGGGAGGAAGCGCACCAGTTTGAGCACACGCAGGAGACGAAACGTCCTCAGCACTGACAGACCCCCATCCGCCTGCCCTATGATCTCCCACACACTGTCACAGAAACACATGGTTATATTTAATGCATTTCTATATATAATAGTTCAGATAAAATAAAAAAAAATCATAACCTCAACAATGCTTACATACAGTATGTTTAAATGAATATGTATTTAAAAAAAAATATTTCCCACTATCTTTCATAGTAGCTTCTGGGTAGCTGATTTTTTTAAATTACTACAATTTTAGGTCATTTTAATTAATTTTTTTAACATTCCATATTTTTCATTTCATAATTGCAAAATATAAAAATTTTTTTAGCGTATTTGATTATACACTAACTGTTTGGGGCTTTTTACACTTTTTACTGTATTATTATCCAAATAAATCCAGCTTTTCATAACCTCAACAATGCTTACATACAGTATGTTTAAATGAATATGTATTTAAAAAAAATAATTTCCCACTATCTTTCATAGTAGCTTCTGGGTAGCTGATTTTTTTAAATTACTACAATTTTAGGTCATTTTAATTAATTTTTTTAACATTCCATATTTTTCATTTCATAATTGCAAAATATAAAAATTTTTTTAGCGTATTTGATTATACACTAACTGTTTGGGGCTTTTTACACTTTTTACTGTATTATTATCCAAATAAATCCAGCTTTGATTTATTTCAAAAACATTAAAAACTTTTAAAATGCATTGTATATTTAGTAAGTTTAGTATTTTAATAAGTATTATATAAGATATAGACACATACAGATAAATAAAAGGTCTTACCTTATGACTACAATAATCCCATCAAATATGTTGTAGGGGTTCTTGATATAGCCAAAGATGCCAAAGGCCAGCAGTTTGAAGAGCATTTCGAGGACAAACATGCTAGTGAAGACGATGTTGCTAATCTCCAGAATGTTTGTCAGCTCCTCAGGCTGTGAGAGGAAACAGAGCCACACCTCATTACCGTCTGCAGGCCAAAGTCATGCCAAGATACTGCTGGGAATATAACATATGAGTGACCTTAATCACCGACCCTCATAATGGCACCTTCACACACCTTTACTCTCACAACATCCCATGAAACGCCTGAGGATGGGAGTCAGACTACTGTATATAAATACAGAGAACTGCAGCACATTCAAATGATAAATGAACAGTTTATGTAACACAATACCTCTGGGCCAAATAATAAAAGATATTTCAAAGCAATTACGATTGTTCATTTTCACACAAACAGCTCCAGGGCTGAGGTTAAACAAGCAAAATAAAACCCAAAGCAGTATAAGCTCTTTTATTGAGAGCAAAGCAATGCAGATCAATCAGACGGACATTACCTCTAAAATCTGTCCATCACAAGCAGTTTCAGGGCCAGAGAATTAGTCTCCTTACATTTGCTGATGCAGACTATACCAGCTGAAGAACTGAAGAATTACTACTGCACTCTTCAGTTCTTTAGCATAGTGCAAATCAATAAACACATTTTAAAGGAAGCATCAATGATATGAGCCTTTTGGTTCTGCTGGCCATTATAAGAGCAGCAACCCTCAGCATTCACCTGGATACTGCTCACATTAACACGGTTATAAAATCAAAACGTCAAACTGTTAGACAATCACTATCGCTACGGGCAAGCTGAAAGTCACTGTGTTAAACACATCCATTTAGAAAGATAAAACCAGTGTACATTTGAGCCTATAGGGCTTCACTGCTCTTGTCTTATCAGTGCTTTTAAAGACACATAAACCTGCATTAGTGCATTAGATATCATTAACAAGCCTAACGATTATTTTACAGTATTTAATAATGCTAATGTAATTTCTACATACACAAGTTGTATAAATTAACATTAATATATTATTAACAAACATGAATTAACAAAGAACTTTATTGTAAATTGTTAGCAATGAAATATGTTTCTATTAAAATAGAAGCTATCTATACTTATCTCATAACTGAAACAAACCTTTGCAGGTATAAACCATATCCAGCAAATAACTGAAGTAAAACGGCGCTGACAGGTCATCACTAGGGGGCTCCACGGCCTCTGCTGCCTGCATTGATCTACATACATTAATCAATGTTCTTCATGAATATTTATATGCCACTTCCCCAGACTGCTTGTTACCCAGGAACAACAGATTAGTAATGGATTAGTAAAAGAATAATGAAAACCCTTCATTATACCCACTTCGACTGCAATGTTAGATTAGACAAGCATTTTCAGCCTTACTGGCATCAATCTTTGATTCTAAACAATTTTAGCATCATCAATTTAGTAGGCTATTTGTACATTGGTATTGAAAGAAAACAAGATAATCCAAACCAAAAAAACATGCTAGCAGTGTCGACATAAAACAGATGATAGTCACATTTTCAGTGGGCAAACTTCCATTTAAAGCTTACAATTTATGCAACATATATACATAAACAGATGTGCTTGTGTGGTGTCCAACAGGTGGCTTTATGAATCATTATTCCAGCAGCGGATACCACCTCAGGTGCCAAGACAGCTAAAGTGTGTTAACTGTAATATGGTTTGAAATAAAAATATGATGCTAATTTACCAGAACAACTCTGAAGCAACAGATTCAAAAACATACCATGGGGCAAAAACATTGTTTAGTGTAATTTTCCTCATAAAGTGAGACATGCCATTATGCAGTGCCATAGACTGAGCCCAGTCGTGATGAATTCTAAACACAATCTTCCAGCCTGTGAATAATTTTTCCAACAAAATGACAAGAGAGGATTAGTGCATTTCTGTTTTAGAAAGTTATACAATTACACGACAATATTATGTCTATGATACATCCTAACCAGACAATCTAGCTCATCCCCTCTTCAACAAAACCATATAGGGATAGTTCACAAACTAACAAACACACAAACAACCTCACAACCAAAAAACAATAATTCTATCATTATCTACTCACCATCATGTCATTTCAAACTTGCATGACTTTTTTCTGCTCCAAAGCTAAATGTGACTGTATTTTGACCACTCTTCCACTGTTAGAAATAAAGGTTCTTTATTGGCATTGGAAACTGTAACATCCATGGAACCTTTCCATTCCACAAAAGCTTCTTTATACTGGAAAAAAAGTTCTTTAGATTATTTAAATATTCATGGTCTTAAGAATTTGTTCACAAATCAGATTCTTGAACTCACGGATTCAACAATACAGATGCTGCGATTGTGCTGCGAAAATAATCAGTAAATATGTACATTTCTATATGTTTCTTACACAAATCAATTGTATGAGGTCAGAAGAGGAATATAGTGTACGGACTATTTTTATGATACTTGTGGGGGCTTTATTAAGCCCTTTTCATGTCCTTTCAACATGAGGGTGAGTAAACGATGACATTTTTTATTTTCGACTGAGCCATTTACACTATACACAAATCAAATATCAATCCCAGCTTTCCTGAACATGGTCTGTCTGAGTGCAAAGCTACAAATTCCCACTGCTGCTGCATCAAGCACATTTGCTGGACAGAGCAATGGAAAAGCGACGACAGTGAAAATGCATGTTGGGACACTGGGCTTTCAGTGGCGGCAACATGGCAGACTAAAGGAGAGTGATGTTAGCAAAGAACTGCTGCACTTCTCCAGAGGGAGTCAGCCGCTGCACCCTTTACTGCCCCATTCCTCCATCATGTCCCATGATGCATAACACACATCTGAAAGCAGAGCAACTCAGAAAAGGCAAAAGGAATGAAAAACAACAACACTGTCTGTTACTTTCACGGCTATTTGCGATAATGTTAATAATTTTACAGCTCTAAACCATTCAATCACCAGCACAATCCGAAGTTAAACACAGCATGATGTGTTTGATAAATACATGTATGATTTTGATGAGAATCTGGGTGAAGCTATACACACGTGCTTTGTAAATGAGTATTTGATGCATAACGTATCAATGAATGTCTATCTTACATCCTGCTGTAATGGGTCAACACAATCTGCACTTTTAAAGGAGCAATAGGTGATTGTCTTCAGAAAATGTTTTTGTTATGTTGGTTGAAAGTCTCTTCACATCCCGATAGCAATCATTAAGTTAAGTGGTCTAAATGTATTTATCTGTATTTATATATTCTGTGGAAGGCGTAGGACCAAGAAATGTTCGTCCAATCAAAACGCTCGGTCCGAGCGTTTTTATTGACTTTCCTACCTGCCTGTCAACTTAAGTATTAGCATACCTCTGCGCACCGGGTTCGCGCAGACAGGATACGTCATCAGCGTGTTTATGCACGCTGTGCAGACAGAGCGAGAATGGCAGACAAACATCAACAACCTGATCTTCCTTCATGGTATTGTAGTACTTTTACTAACTGTGCTATAAAGTTTTCTCACCAGTGAATGACACATGATGTATTGTAGTAATGTTGTCTCTGATCGTCTGATCTGTGTGTGTATGCGTTCAGGGGGCGTGGCTTTGAACGGCGATTTGCAGGGAGGGTGGGACGTTCACGTTCAGTGCTATCAGGCTAAAGTTAGCATTTTCCAAGATCTCCTACTGCACCTTTAAAGCGTTTAATTTTTTGTGCCTCTAGTGAGTTGAATTGCAATTTGTTTGAGCAGGCCGACTATGTGGAGCGAATTTTGTGCCAATATTCATCAAACAAATCCAGCGTTTTGCAAATAAACACAATCAGCTTTGCAAAGAAAAACTCGACTTTCAAAAAAAAAAAAAAAATCAGACTTGCGAGATGTAAACTTGCAATTGCAAGAAAAAACATCAGAATTGTGAGATAAAAAGCCGCAATTACCTTTATTTTTTATTCAGTGGTGGAAACGGGCTTCCATACTACACAAAATACATTCACTTGAAATTAGTTTATTATTCAGCAACATTTACATAATAAGACTGGCTTAACCAAAAGTCTAAGTTTGGTGCGGGGCTAGGGGTTTAACCAACTAATGAAGAAGGGAAACTAATGAAGTTTGGAAACTTTTTGGTGATAAACACTGCACTTTGGCAAAATAACTTTTTTAATGCATAAATATTCATTGTAGTCTTTCAATTAATACAATAACAGAAAATCTTCAAGAATAATAATATACAAAAAAAAAAAAAACTATTGCCATTAAAAACTATCACTTGGTCACAGAAACAAACAGCCCTGTCTTAAACTCATGCCATTGGCTGAGCCACTGTTACTATGTTGTGCTGGTCAGGATGTTCAAACAAACAGAGGAATGTTTTGATAAACCCACAGAGTCATTGTGTTTACACCTTCTCGAGAATCAGCCAACAAATGCCATACAAATGGCTTCAAAATACTTTTAGAAGGAGAACGGTACATCTCACTGCAAGGATGTGTCCACTTCCCAAAAGTATTTCATGTGAGCTATTCAGCCTCAGAGTAATGAACATGTCTATCATTTATCAAAGTGAAATAACTGTATGTGCAGTGGAGACATGCGTGAGTCTTCGGTGATGGGGCGAACAGTGGCGTAGGCTCTGTGAAGTGACTTTGACTGATGCAGTAATGAAGACTGTCAGTGGCCCCATGTAAATCCGATTAGGTGGTTGATTGACTCGAGAGTGCAGAGACTCTGCTGAGATACTAAGAGCACTCAGTACATAGATCAATGCAGCCAGCCTTATCTCATTATTGTAATCCTCCCTCAATAACTACTATGGCGACAGTGTATTCCAATAGCTGGCAGTACTGAACAAACACCTATATGGATAAGCCTTGAACCATTTGATTTTAAAATCAAAACTCAAAATTAAAGTTTTTTGGGTGTTAGTATCAATACGTTAGTCTTAAGGTTATCTATAAGGCAGTGTGCTCCAAAACAGTGACACAATTCGCATTTAGAAGATATAAGCATTCAAAGCTTGCAGTTTGTCACTTCCGCCAAAACGGCTCAACGATTTTTTTGACGTCACATCGTACTTCAGCTTCTCATCAAACTTTCTGTCCAATCAAGTGTTCTCTAGAATCAGAAGCACCCACCCCCTACACTATAAAATAGACGCTGAAGCCACAGCTGAAATCGGTCACTTGTCCACAGAATTAGTATTTTCTGTACAGTGAATGGCACGTAGTGCACTATATAGGGAACATGGAACGATTCAAACAGTGTAAATATGCTTTCCATTGAGGAAAAAAAGAAGTCTGGTTTGGCGCTGTGTCACGCTAACCACCGCACCGCACACACACTCTGCTCCGGTCCAGAGACACGATAGCACAGAGCGGATCACATGCGCGAGTCACGCAGACCTTAAAGTGGTCATATGATGCGATTTCAAATTTTCCTTTCTCTTTGGAGTGTTACAAGCTCTTGGTGCATAAAGAAGATCTGTAAAGTTGCAAAGACTAAAGTCTCAAATCCAAAGAGATATTCTTTATAAAAGTTAAGAGTCAGCCACACCTACCTAAAACGGCTCAAGAGCACAAGGCACAAAGTCTATTTCAAAAAAAAAAAAAAAGGGTAAATATCGACTTTGCTATGACAATCTGGCGCTTCTGAATCAGCGACTGTAAGTATGTTTTGTTATTAGATTAAGTATTTGCTATTGACTGTTCAAATGTGGAGTTTTGCGCAGCGTAGCAGAGTAACGCGTTGTGTGTGTTTGTGTGTGTGTGTGAGGGGAACAGGGTCACATCACAGGAGAGTGAACTGCCTGTCAGAAATCATAGCACGTCAGCTGTCTTAACCGCGGCTTGTGTACTGCATCATCACTGTGTCTGTCACGCGACTCTGTTGCCCTTTCAGGCTTGAACTGATGGTAAAACTAACGACATTATAGTAATATGGATGAGATTGTGGCTGGCATACCCTGTCAAATGCGGCTTTACGGAGCTCAACGGCTCTGAACGGCTCTAGCCCAAGCTGTGATATAAACGAACGCTATTGGCTATTTTAAAAAGGGGCGGGGCTGCTTGACATGTCCCGCCCTGTCTTCCTGTTTCAGTTAAAATGACGTCAACACATAGAGTAATGCTATGTGTTTCTAAGCATTTCAGGGGACCTTTAAGTAAATGGCAATTACTCCGTAAACAACCTGTCTATCACATTGTGCAAAGTATTAACTGCAGGCAACTTCTTGTACTTAAATAAAAAAATTTATTTAGTGCTTCTGAACTATGAAAGCCTGTTTCCAAATCAGAGGAAACAGTACAAAAGTAACTGAGAGAAACAGAGTCACAATTGTGAAATTTAAAGTTATATTGTCAGATATAAAGTAACATTTTGAGATAAAGTTATATTGTGAGATATAAAGCCCCACTGGGAAATAATTTATTTTGCAATAACAAGAAATAAAGTAAAAATGTCAGTAAATAAAGTTTCAGTTGTGATATATAAAGTCGCAATAACCTTTTTGTTTTACTCTGAAACGGAAACAGCTTTCCATAATGGACCGTATTTGTGACATGTCGACAACAATTTCATACGGGAAACACATTTAATGTAAATAAACATATAATGAAAGACTAGCCAATAAGCAAGCAGCATCACAAATAGATGCTTAAAACTATCAGACATACTAAAAAAGAATAACCATAACTCAAAAAACACAGTTTACAGGAACACTGCAAACCTTACCCACAGAAATGATATTGGTAACACAATCACAAGAAGTTCTTCCACCTCTAAAAGTAGTCTCACCTCAAAAGACACTTTACAACTCAAATAACAATCATTTTACAGTAGAATTTATGTTCATTCTTTAAAACAGACCTAAGAATTTCTATGCAAGGAGGTCTCCAAATCCCCAAATCACCATAACAAATGTCTGCTAACTATTTTCACCTCTTCTGCTTCTGAAATGAGGATTAAAAGATCCCTATTACGTGTCTTGGCTTAATTAGACAACACGAGCTGTTCTTTAAAGTAGCATAACGATTAAAGATTTTACTTCAGAAGCAGACATGCTACCTAGGACCCACATTGGTATTCAATAAGCTATGCTTTAGTCAAAGAGCAACCAATCAATCATATATAATCACACATAATTAAATGTAGGATAAAAGGGTTTGTTCAGATCTATTATTAGCGTACTTACCTCCAATTGTGAATATTGCTCTTTCAATGATGTAAAGTCAAGTGTGACACCGCAAGGTGCAGCTGAACCTTATTTCTACCAGAGCTGCTAAACATTATTTCAACAACAATCGCTCTCCAAACGGCCTTTTAGCAAAGTTACAATATTTAATTTCATACAAGTACTACTCACAGTGCAGTTATCAAATCTAGTGCAATTTACAGTACATTGAGCAGGAAAGTTTTTTCTGCTGGCCTTGTTGAGCCAGTTTTTTTTTTTACCTGCCCTGCCCATTGCACTGCTCTTGGTAGATTGCACTGGTCATTATGGAAATGAGATGTTGGGTCTGTGTTCTTTAACTTTTTTGAAAATTGTCAACTATTCCTAATTTATACTTCTAAGACTTTGTCAGGTCCTTAGACAGCCTCATTTGTGTCAGAAATTTTAATGAGATTTAAATGAGCAGAATTTCTAACAATTAGTACATTACAGAATACCAAATGTTCACGTTTGCAAGACATAAAATGCATGTTTCTTGGCACTCGAATCAACTGGCTGAAATCCTGGAAGTAGGCTATCGGACCATTCTTACTGTTAATCCAAGATTGAATATTTATTTGATTTATTATACAACAATGTCAGTAAATGTTTAATTTCCAAGAATCCTCTACACAATACCAGCAGCAGAAAATGTCAGTACTGTAACCACTTTATATGATATCAAGCATCCACACACATTGCTTACTGCGAGACCTCTATCCAATTGGCTACATGTCAAACCACAGGATTAGGTATGAAACCAAGAGTGGTAACATCGCAACTCAAAACAACACAGCAAGGAGAGATAGAAGTGCAGTCCGAGGCACTGCAGCACAACACAGTTATATAACCAGGAGATCTGTTCACCCAAAAAGGCTATGAATCCTCATCACTGTTTCTGAATGAAAAATAAATAGCAAGCTAATCCCAGTGCATACCACCAATGAAATTCTGATGAGGAATATGTTATGATATGGTCTGTTTTATTGCTTTGTTTCCTTATAAGCAGTCATTATAACAACCATCCTTTTGTTTTTCCTGACCACCAATCAATATTAAAGTAATAAAAGTCCCGTCTGACAGTAGCAAATGAAAAATTAGGCTATTCATTAAAGAAGCCACACTTGCACTCACCTGCTCATGGTATTCAATCCCCATACTCAAGGTGTTGATGAGGATGGCAATCATAATTCCTCGATTAAAGTATTTGCTATTTACTATGCGTATCAATCTGTCCCGGAAGTCAACCCAGTACTGAGCCAGGCGGTTACGCTCCTCCAGGATTTTATGATGGGATGCACGGCAGGGTTTGAACTCTGCTCCATGGGAGAACTCGTACACCACGTCCCCTTCTGATCTGGAGTAGTCTGAATCACCGAGCTCCACATCCATGGTCTCCAGGGCCCTTGCACAATACGGGCAGCTCAGGAGCTCAAGAAGCAGTGGACTGGGCACCACACCAGCCATCTGCAGCAGCACACGACTGTGGCCTACATGGGAAAAAACACAGTCAGTCAACAATTAAGTCAATGCAATTAGGAAATGCAAAAGTGTTGCATTTGCTTTATGATGCATCTTTTGTAAATGAAGCATTTGCCAAATGGTACTTTTGCATAAAAAGTAACAATGTAACTTAATTAGTAATCATTCTGCTTTTAAATGTAACATTCCCCAACACTGAAGGCTTATTTGTGTTTCTCTTGTGTATTACTTCCTTCTGAATTGAGGACATCTCTCAGGAGGGACTGATTGTGCATGTCTAAATCATTCACATGAGTTACTACCTGGTGTCTAACTCAAACATCAATAGATCCCACAACCAACTTAATGTTTATTGTAAGGTTGCTTATTTGAATTATGACACCTAATTGGTTTCATTTTTAGCAGTCAAGCCAATAAAACAGGTTACTTCAGCTAGTTTATTAGTCTAGTAGCTTACTTATCTAGCAATGGTCATGAAAAATATGCAGTGCTCTATGTGTTCTGTTCAAGTGCTTCACCCTCTCTTGGTCTTATGATCTCACAATCTTAAATAAAACTAATCGGTCTAATCAGAGGATGTCTGTGGCTGTACTCTTATACTAATGTGTTGCCTGAGGACGTAATCATACACAGTGGCCCACTTTAGCCTGTGGTAATGAGCTGAAGTGGAGGTGACTCAAGCTGCAATCAAAAATTACTGTTGGCAGAGGCAGTGAATTTGAAGTAAACATGCAGTACATATTCCTGTTGACAGAAACCCACAAATAGTCATTCTGCAACAGACTGATATAGAAATGAAAACTGGCTTGAGCATGAAAGAAATGCCTTGGTTATCTGGGGCTGAACAAACAACCTAACGCAAAACCAAATGCACTAAATTCTACTCATTCATTCCAAACATATACAGTACTGGGACCCCGCGGTAAATTTGTAACTGTAATGCCTTGAAGTGTTACACATTTAAAGGGATAATACAACAAAATTCATTTTCTGTCATCTTCCATGACTTCTGAAGCTTATATGTGAGAAACAACTTTATGTGAGGAACAGGCCATATTTTAAAGGGATAATTCACTCAAAAATGAAAATTCTGTCACCATTTATTCATCATCATGACATTCTAAACCTTTATGACTTTTGCTCTTTTGCAGAACACAAAAGAAGAGATTTCGAATTATACTTGAAACTAAATGGTTACCATTGACTTCCATTGTATGGACAATAAAAAAAACTATATTATAAAATATATATAATTTTATGTTCCACAGAAGTAAGTCATACAATCTTAGAGCATGAGGTTGAGTAATCGATGAAAAGTTTCTGAGTAAACCATCTTTTAAGCCATATTATCTACACGTCACAATTGGTTACAAAATGCACAAGAGCCAGTTGCTGTCTCCAACCAAATGTTTCACATTTTTAAAACGTATTTTGGAAAATTTGCCTGAAGAATGAGTAAAACAGCTCATATAATGAATGCCACTAGTTGACATATAACTTCTGACTTCTGGAGTAAAAAAAGAAAACTGTTAACTCCTTTTTGTTCCATGTCCAACATCTTGCCTCATATTCTGTGCCCAAATAGTCAAAACCCATCGTTTATACAATAAATAAATAAATAAAATAAAACACAACTTTAATGTGCATTTTGACTTTTCTGGCATTAAACTCCAGAAAATTCACCTCAGTCTAGTGCATAACACTTTGAGAGAATATTTCCATTCAAGTTTTCAAATTAAATTTTTTAACTTAAAATAGTTGTATAGATACCCAGCAAGTGACATTTGGCATCACTGATGCCCTAAGACCGCATATTTGAATGTATGCAAAGGTGAATTAAATAAAAAAAAGAAGTTATATGGGTTTAGAATGAGGATTTTTATATTTGGGTTTCTGGTTACTGCTTACCTAGAAACCCCAGCAGATGAGATCATTGGAAGCCAACTGATATTTTCCCTCCAATCACAGAGTAAGCTTACTGCCTATCCGTCTGACAAGAGGAATCAAATGTTGGCATAAGATTTCAAAGTGCTTGATAGCCACAGTCGCTAGTGGAGTGCTGGCAGTCGCCTCACTCCTTTAAAGATTGTGTTAATGACTTTAACATTTGAAGTATTGATTTTCTGTCACATTGGTAAAGGGCTGCCTAACAATCACTTCTCAGAACGCCTTTCATTATCCTGAAACAGGCTATGTGAGGTGACTACAACTGGACCTGATATGAAGTGGAAACAATGGCTATGAAAAACTCACTATGTTCCCCCATGAGCTGGTGCAGCTTCTCAAAGGGATCAATCGCATCACATCCTGTATTTGCATCCGACCCCCTCCTTCCTTTCCCTGCAGAACTGCTGCCTGTATAGCTGCAAATGAGGGAGGGCAAGATGGTCGGATAATTCATCCCGCTGTTTAGTCGCCCGAGTGCCGGCACACCCACCACGGTGCTCGTTCGCCCTTGCGGGGCCTCCTGAAAGTCACCTTGATAAATGCTGTGCACTGACGGAGTCCTGGAAGAAAGATTGTGCATGGCGGTTGGCTGTGAGGACACAGTCAGTTGCGGCCCCGTTGCGATGGACCTCATTTCCAGAGCCTCGCCGGGCCCCGTAGCGGTCACAGGACTGGGGCTGCCATTGCTGAGGTGACAGTGCTGCTGTTGGTGCTGTTGGATGAGGTTGTGGATGGAGCGAACCCAGTGTCCGCCACCCCTGTGCCTGCTATGACCATTGGCCCCCCCGTCGCCGCCTCCTCCTCCTCCCCCACTCAGCCCACTGTTGGGGTTCACCTTCTTTCTGCGTTTGCTCTGCCAGCCGCTGTAGATGCGGGAAGCACGGCGCTTCACCTTGCGGTACAGGTGGCTGATGTACCTGAGCATCTCCTCGTAGCAGCTCCCCGGCTCAGAGTAGCTGGCGAGGGTGCTGTCGTTGGAGAGGTAACGTGCTCGCTGCTCCTGCATCAGCTGGTTCTCACGCTGCTTTGTTTCTGAGAACTGGGTTGCTATTACAACCAGGCACAGGTTGATCATGAAGAAGGAACCCACCTGAGACACACAAAAGCCACTTTAGTTTATCATCATGAGCTAAGGTAAGAAGTCTTTAAAGAATCTCTTTAATGCCTGGTTTACACTGTACATGTAATTGGAGCATACTGTATACACTACCGTTATATTCTGAAATATTGTTACAATTTAAAATGTCCATTTTAATATATTTTTAAATATAATATAATTTAAAAATGTGATAGCAAAGCTGAATTTCCAGCATCATTACTCCAGTCTTAAGTGTCACACGATCCTTAAGAAATCATTCTAATGTGCTGACTTGCTAATCAAGAAACATTTCTTTTTATTATCAATGTCAAAAACAGTTGTGATGCTTAATATTTTGTGGAAACCATTAATTTTTTCATGATTCTTTGATGAATAGAAGGTTCAAAAAACAGCATTAATTTAATCTTTTGCAACAATATAAATGTCATTTAAAGGGGTCATATGATGCAATTTCAATTTTTACTTTCTCTTTGGAGTGTTACAAGCTCTTGGTGCATAAAGAAGATCTGTAAAGTTGCAAAGACTAAAGTCTCAAATCCAAAGGAGATATTCTTTATAAAAGTTAAGAGTCAGCCACACCTACCTAAAACGGCTCGTAGAAATCAGTGGTTAAGTTGTATTTACAACACTGTTCCAGAACAGTTCAACCCAAATATTCAGATTTTTTTATGGAGGACTGTTTCCTGATCCTGGAAGAGTAGACTACAATGCCGGCTGTTCTGACTCACAGACTGTAAGTAAGTTTTCATATTAAAAGAATTTGCCACTGACGATTCAAATGTGAGTTTTGAGCAGTGTAGAGTAGCACTTGTTGTTTGTCATTTCTCCGATCACAAATGCAGACATGGTTTTATGTTTACGCTGCGCGATGCAATGTAATGCATAAAAAGACAGTATAAGTCATTATAATCCGTAATTATGTCCCCATTGGATGCAACAAATGCCTCGTTTATAATGGGTTTTAATGTTTTTGTCTCGTTGCTCCGACACGGCATCACAGTATGGTAAGGTGCGTAACATTTCCGTCACATGCTTGAGGTATTCGGCCAATCACAACACACTGGATAGCTGGCAAATCACAGCACACCTCGCTTTTCAGACCGATGAGCTTTGTAAAAATCGACGCGTTTCAGAAAGGTGGGGCATAGAGGAGAAACAATAATGTACAGTATGTGGAAAATAATGTGTTTTTTTAACCTTAAACTACATAAACACATTTCATTACACCAAATACACAAAATAATGTTCATTTTAGCAACATCATATGACCCCTTTAATCCATCCTTGCTGAATACAAATATTAATTCAAATTAATTAAATCTTACCTACCCTAAACTTTTAAATGGCAGTGTATATTTAGGTATATTTTGCTCAATTCAGGAATCAAGCTGTAATTTAAAAGGCATTCTCAATTCAGAATTTTAAATAATATGGCACACTGACAAACAGATCTATTTGTAATTGAGGAACACTTTATTCCCTTGAATGCCATATCTGTCTGAATTGTAATTCGGTAAATTCCATTTCCTGTAATTCCAATTTAAATTCCTGAAGGATGTAGCACTTCGTTTCAAACCCATAAACTGAATTAAAGAATTAATTGTGTCTAACCCTGATATTAAGTTCACAGAAATTACACTGCATGTTGCAGTTGCCTGCTGCTGCTCTACTCTACTCATGTATGCGGTGTGAAACAGGCTAAAAACATTAAATACTTTCAATTAGAGTATACTTACTATAATAAGCAATATAAAATATATAAAATTGTAAAAGGAGTGGGCATCCATAACGTAATACATGATGTCCACCCATCCTTCCAAAGTAATAACCTGCAAAAACAGAAGAGAAATTGAGATCAAATGAAGATAAAATGCTGCGAGACAGAAGATCCAAATGATTATTATCTTGATCTTGGCCAAGAAGAATAGCAGTCTCAGGTGCCTGGCTCACATTTCTAACCTTGCAGATAGCTGGTAGCTCAAACACGGAGTTTTGAGAGTTCGTCTAGGGAATGAAAAGCCTCGCAAGTTTAGTATATTGTTTTTCTGCAGGTTTTTGAATAATAAATGATAAACGAGTTAAACGCATTCAAATGTAGAGCACTGCTAATGCACCTTGACCTGAGGTAAAGTTTCAATCAATTACCTTAGTTTAGACACTCAGATCAAAGGCGTCTCTAATTTGTATCTTGAACACAAAGTGTTAGACACTAAAGCTTTTGTAATTGTAATACTTCTTCACATCATCTAGGGATTCATTTTGAAATGTTTTTAGGAGATAAATACCCTCCAGTGAACACAAAGTACTAATGACATATAAATCAGACAGAAATACAGCAGAGTACAGTTCATGGCACAGAGTGATGCCAGAGGTCTGATTGTTAGTTTGATCGCAGTAAACGTAGTAGTGCAGGGTTAAGTCTGTTAGCATTGAGTCATTTGTTTTGGAAGCTCTGCGCCTGCAGCACAGCATTTCATTCTCATCCAGCTGTATCATTTAGCATTAGACCTCATGTTTGAACCCCAGTTCTTTCTATACTGTCTACTAGATTCATTGTCTGCTTCTAGAAAACAGACATTTTGGTATTTAAAGAGATACATTTCTGTTTTTCACATAAAAACAAAAACATGAGTCTTCTTTTTCGATTTCCGCACAGTTGGCTTTAAAACAGCTGATTCTTGAAACTTATCCACATTTACATTTTGTAAATGCAACTACTGCTAGACACACATTTTTACATAATTTATTATGGATTTATTTTACAGCCATACCAAGCATAATTTTAAAATATTGCTTAAGAGTCCAGTTGGGTCAGACTAACAAAAACTTGTGAGTTGGATTGTTTTCAGCTGGTTACAGCACTAATATTCCAGAATATTTCCTTATGTGGGTGTTTCTTCAGCTACATGCACTTTTGGCCAAGAGGAATTTTAGAAAATAAACTCTTAAAACACACTCTCACTAGTTTAACTTGTCCACTAACACTGCCCAACAAACCTGCATCACGGGAGAACTCTGTAATTTTTGTCATATTTTCTGAAAGCCATGAACATGCCCATCACAGGGCTATTTCCACCACACCTCAAATAATGCATTACAGTATGCTTTATAGCATTCTATGATGGAAAATTGATTGAAAATGACAATTTTAACACTTTGAGAATGGCCAGCTCCTGGCTAAGCTTTCATAGCTAGCACTTTATGCATCCAAAATACACACAATTGACCATTCACAAAGACCTGCCCCCCAAAGTTTGCCATTTTGTAAGAAATTCAAACAATAAATACCATTTTGTGGCTCTTTAATGTGTCGTGACAGATCGCTGTAGCGCCTTAGTTCAAGCAGCACGTGAACCGATCATCTCTTCCTCTTTACTAGTTATAGCGTGAAATAAACATGAATGAACATCAGAAGGTATCTTGTGTCAACCGTGGAAAGACGTCAATACACCATTTTTCAAGTTCAAGTCCACCGACATTAATCTATTCTTCTGTCTGATTTGTTTGTCAGACAAAAATGGCAGATTTGGCGTTATGATTGGTCAGATCACCTGTCAATCAAACTCCAGGCGAAGGGTCAATTTAACTAATATTTTCAAACTCTTAACATAATTTAAAAAATTACCTGATCTGAAATGATTCACAAAACTATTCTGCTCAGAAGTGAAATTTACCTTGATTTTAATTCATTTTCTTCACACACAATGTCTCATTTAATTTCAAACATGCTTCTCACCAAGTACATTAACTTCATCAGTGCTAATATGCTAATGCTAATAATTTGTGTAGAAGATATAAATCAATTTTCACAAAATAATTGTTTAATCATTAAACCCTAAAATATGATTAACAATACATTTTTTACTCTTTGTTTTAACATTTAAAAGGCTGTAAAATGGATTTTCTTTTTTTAAGACTGAAAGTCTGGATCTGGGACAAAAGTAAATGATGGCATGGTATAAAGTTTGCATTTTATAGTAACCACTATAGAACAAAAAGGAAAAAAAGGTCTATCTAGCCATAAAAGTGCCACTAGGTGAAGAGACATTATTTTAGAATAACCTGCTCCCGGAGGTGTCATCTTATGAGTACAATCCAGGTCCTATTAAGATCTTATGTTGACACAGGTGAAAACCCTTCAGGCCCTCTTTTATAATTGCATATCCTGTACCGTCATTATAACCCAGCCAAAAGGGACACCACGTGACTGACCCACTTGTAATGATCGGACAAATGAGACTGACATTCATTTCCAACAGAAGGAGGACAGGTCTCATTGTATGTCCGTACGACGGGCCCAATGCGCCCCTCCAACAAGGGCATGACTGCGCATATTAAATATGCTTAAACAGGGTTTGTGCCACCAGTCCGTCTGTGGTGATTCAACTCTGCTGATGAGGATTGATTGAAAGTACAGACGAGTTAATATGCGACGGGAAGCTTTTTCTTTTCTGATTTAATTTCCACAGGCTGCGATATATGATATCACATTCCCATCGAAAAATCTCATCACTTTGCAGAGCTCCTCCTGAGCAAGGGGCAGAAATGACTAAAGCAGACATTTGCTCAGAGAAGATTCAATTATTTGGTGTGGTTGGAGCGTGCTTAACAAGACTTTGTCCTTTCAAGATGAAAATCGAGTAATAAAAATTTGTAAAAAGCCTCATCTATCTTTGGAATAACTAGGGCCTTTGATTTTAGCGAAAGAACAATGACGCTTACTAATGCATTTCCATTCCCACAGCGATCAACAAAAAGACCATCAGCGACATGGAAATTATCTGGATTGCAAACAACATTCCAAGAGGAACTTACCTGGAATATCGCAATCCAGGCATATCCAATATTATCGAAGTTCACTGCCCCTTTGTGCGGGTTGAGCTCCCCGGGTTTACACTCACTGTAATACTGGTTCCAGTTAACACAGCTGCTGTTGCCTGTCCCATCCAGGCCAGAGTAGGCATGTCCCGGTGGAGATGCATTTAAAGTGCACTCAACACCCTCCTTGAGGGGGGGCACCTGACTACAGCGCAGCATGCCATTGTCCTTATTGGAGGAGCAGATGAAGGGGTTGTCCTCACCTTCTTCATTCATGTAGTACGGACTCATGTGTGACAGATTATAAAGGCTGTGGAAACACATGGAAAACAATGTGGAATATATGGCATTTACTTACTAAAACAGACACACATTATATGCTCAGAGACCAGACAGCATCTTCCTTATCTTTACATGAGTCATTTACATGAGAGGACCCCCCCGTGACTGTGTGTCAAGGTTGGTAAGTGTCTTAAAATATCAGATCATTTGACCCTTTTTATGACAAGGTAAGGCTGGTGCAGCTTGTAAAATGTCAAGTGGTGCCACTCCCCTAAAACTGGATATCTATAAATTTCTATGAATCTTTTTTTTTTAAATAATGATATTGATGTAAACACTCACATGTACTCAAGACGTGAGGAAAATGACAGTTTATTACGGTTACACCACATGACATTTTTAGAGTTATTCAATTTTTGTTTGAAAATGGTACAAACGTTTTTCAAAACCAAGAAAATATGTTTTAAACTAAAAGTTTTTTTTAAAGATGTTTCCTTTTCTGTTTCATGCAAACTCTTACTCATCATTGATCCATCTGTCTAATAGGTTATAATCCGGTCAGAATAATGTTTTAGAGGGGAATTTCACAACTGGGGTACCTGGAGCCCCCAGGAAAATTAAATTAAATTCAAAATAGGGTTAACATGAGAGTTAAACATTTTTATTAAAACAAATACCACAGAGAGTTTGGGAATATCATGTCACAAATAGTACTGCTAAATGACACAAAAAAATAAATCAACTGTATGTATGTAAAGGCTGATCCAGGTCAATATAATATAATATAATTTTATACTCAATAAAATAACTTTCATAAAAACACTTCAGAACGGGGCATTTCACTAGCTCATATTTCTAAATAAGACCTGGCAGGTGAAAATGTTGTTGCTCTAGCATCAAAACACATGCATTCTGAGAGCAGTAATTTGTCCCATTACATCAAAATATATGACTTATAATTCAACTCATTTTGACGACTGCAGTCTGCACTCATCAAAGCCTCTCAAGGCTTTTTTCTTTTAATAAGCTTTTACCCATATACCTTTGTTGGAGGTGTGTGTACCTTCAGTGCTCGGGGATCAATGCTCAGCACTGATTTTATGCCAGGGTGCAGTGTTCAGTTTACAAGACTGTCAGCAGCTGAGATGCCATTGCTTCTGGCAACAGTTGGCTGCCACTTTAGATCATATCGGCAGCGCTGACATGCTTCCAGCGGAGAGAGGGTAAAGGAGGAGAAGAGGGGAAGAAAGCTGCCGGTTAGATAAGAGGAGGACTGTACTTACGCTTTCACGTTATCTGGCATGAAACACCGATTCCTAAGAAGTCCAGCCCACAGCTGCACCCCGACAATGCCGAATATAAAGAAGACAAAAAAGCACAGCAGGAGGACGTTGCCTAACATAGGCAGAGTATCAAGAAGCAGAGTCACCAGTATCCTCATACCTGAAATACAGAAACACAGATGCAACACCGTTTTAGTTGTTGTGTGCTTACTCCATACTGCTTTTAGGGTTTGCATAACATGCTTCATTTTTTGAAAGTACCAGTATAAATAGCTGACAGACAAGTATATGGATTAATATATCATATATATATGTAGTCAATACTTTAAGATTATCATACTCGACTGATAACTGTTGACCAATAACAGTGTTGTATTTATATTAAAATGTACCAACTGCCAAGTTGACATAGACATTTTTCATAATATTTTTGAAGGAATTTTCAGTAAATATTGTGAAAAAAATATGTACATTTGATTTTAGCCATTTTGATATCAAATTATATCTTACTGTCAAATGGACACATTAATGGTTTTATACATAATTTTTTACTAGTGAAGCACTAAACTACAAGAAAGAAAGAAAGAAAGAAAGAACTACATATTTTCCACTTCACAAATACTGAAATGTGAATTACTTGAAACTACATAAAAAAACATGTTAGACCAACAGAATTCTCCAAATTAGTCAAATATAAAAAAAATTAAACTATATCTCAGATACTTTTGCTGGCTACCAAAACCATAGATCAGTTTATTGTGTTCCTAACTGAGAATTCGTTGAACAAAAAATCTGTAGTTGCTTTGATTAAATTGTTGTCTGAATGTGTCATTTTGCATTTAGTGAAAGAACAAATTAAAATTGACAAACTAATCTTACTTAAGGCAAATTTTAAGTTAAGTTAAGTTAATATAACAAATATTCCTTTTAACAGTGTATATAATGAAATGGCAAATCTTAGGTTATACTGTAGAACGACACCTTTAACCTAAATCGGTCCCACTTGTCATAACGCTTGACAGAGCACAGAAATTGCATATTTTAAATGGACTGCTGATGGACCACAGGGACTGACTGAGTCAGACTTTAATGGAAAAATAAGACTTAAACTACTGAACAAATGCCCATTCCCATTATCCCTCACTGCAGGTTTCCACTACCACTGATAAAAGCTAACCACCACTCAGAACACCATAGCAACCATACAGCAAGACCCTAGCAACCACATAGCAATGTGCTAACAATCACTCAGACCACTTTATCAACCACAACACAAGGCCCTGACAACACCCTACAGTAGCATTGTGGAAGCGAGGTCCGCACAGGAAAGAAACCCTCACATTTTGAGTGGATACAGAGTTCTAGTGTACAACTGAGAACTACCATAATAGGAAAAGCTTAAGGAATGTATTTCACATGCTAATATAAACTCACATCAGAACTTTCAGGGAGCTAAAAATGATACTATTCTAAAGAATACAAACATGGCTGTCAAAGTTATCACATTAATATATGTGATTCAATGAATTAGTCTAATGCTGTTATTTTTTAACAGTTAACACATTCAATCTGACTATAACCGCTTTATACTTTTCAGTTGTATTGCTAAAAACAACTGTTTGCACTCTTTTATGTTAGAATATATTATATAATATTGATTAAAAAAATATTATGAATTGATATAATTTAGTCTCACTTATTGTATACAGTATATTGTCAATGTGAAATGTCAAAAAAATATTCCCGTCTGTAGAAGTGAAATGTCATTTGGACAAATATTAATGAGAAGACCATCATTAATAGGCAACCAAGGCTTACTGTAAAAATGTGCCTGTGGCAACATTTGTGCAAAATTATATTTCGTTGCTTCTTAAACGCTTTGCGAAACTTTCAAAAAATCTCGTTAGCACTGCTAAAACACAGTTTTTCTAAGGGATAAACATCAATCTGGCATTGTTGTTTGCTGAGCATATTATGGCAGTTCTGAAATGAATTATCCGAATAAAAGGTTATAATATAAAAGGTTAGTGCTTTATCATGTTTGAAAATAACGTAATAATGTACACTAAACCTACCCTAAACCGGTATTGTTTACAAAAGCAAAAGTGAGATAAAACACAACCAGGACATTTTTGTTTGCTTCTACAAGTATTTGAGCTCTTTTATCAAGTGTCATGACTCATGTTTCACAGGACTTTTACCTGAATTCACCACAATGCAAGTGTAACGCTGTACCAGGTGGGCTAACGAGCAAGTTTACTACATCAATGTATCAGTTTACAAATTATGCACTATAAAATAAAGTGTTTTGAGGTCACAACAGAGCATTGTGCCAGGAAATAAGTCTTCATTCATTTTTCATCTGCCCTTGTAATAATTTGTGTGAAAAGAAATACATGTTGTTGGTGTTTTATTGCTACGATTGTTTGTTTCAGCTGGAAACTTAGCAAAAATGTAGGTAGAAGCATGCTTTCCAATGAGCCTATGTTGGTAGAGGACAGCAGGAAAGAATTTTTCAAAATTCTATAAAGCATGTGACAGGGTGCGGGGAGTCCATAAAGTTATTTTATTATTTAAAAGCTATACAGATTTTGATTGAATTCAGTGTTTGCATTTCCTGTTTTTAATCAGTTTGAGGAAAACAGAATCTGCTATAAAATCGCTGTGCATTTTTGTGAGATTACGTGAAATGCATCACAAAAACATTTTAATCAATTGACAGTCCTAGAAAACAAACCAAAGAGCAAAAGAACAGTCATGGATGTATAATTAAATCAGCAGTGTCACTGTCACATGGCCCAGTGATCAAGACAGACCGGTGTGAACTGTGTTCAGTGACACACTAAAACTGTCAGAATGGATAATCCCGAGAGCATCAGCGTTCAGCCTATCTCAAGCGGAATGAATGCCTTGTTACCTACAGATACTCATACTTATTTCAGATGAATCAGTCCTGTCTATCACTTTACTTTCTTGAGATGACATAACAATGGTGAAAAACAGCACAAAGACACTCGCTGAAAAAGCATGAAAACATCGGCAAACATCAACGTGAGAAGTGCTCCCAGAGAGGAGTCCGGTGCATCCGGTGATCCGAGTGACTAATGTGCTTGAGGTGGGTGTGTGCGGCTGATGTAATTAAAGTGTATGATATGGAGAGAAGAGGCCTTAAATGGGCCTGTCTGAGTGTGGATATCCCCTCGATGGCCTGCATCCCTTCCACCAAAGACAGTGTGGAGCCACGGCGTCGCTTGGACACTTTAATGAACCCCCTAGAGATACGTGTGGTCACATAGTGGAAGTGGATGAACATGCTAACTCGCTCTTGTGTAAACAGATAGAGAATCACTCTAGCAAAAATTTCTAGCTTGGTATTTGAATTACAGCTTTAGGTGTGAAATAGCATGTCGGCAATAACAAAATAACATAGACGCACACATACACTCCAACTAACATCCACAATTTACTCCAGAGAATCGTAATATCATTCCATACTAAAAGCACTTCTGCTGGCGGCAAACACTCCACCGAGACAAATAAATCACGGTATCTCGTCCTACATCTAGGCAACAGCAGAGTCATTAAAGCTGATGTGGTGGAGCAGAATTACTCATACTTTAAATCTCCAACTCATTCCAGAGGTGTGTCTCAATCCATCTTTAGTAGTAAGTGCACTAACCAGGGAATCTGCCATTTCTATGGCTGTCGAAATTCAAGTGCACTAAAATGTTTGCTCTCCAAAAATGCTTACAAAACAAATGGGAAATTCACTACATGCACTTCTATATACGTACACTACCTACATCTACATTTACAAATCTATGTACGTATACTGTGTATGTTTTCAAGAAATTAGCACTTTGATTCAGCAAAATTCATTAAATTGAACAAAAGAGACAGTAAAGACATTTATAATTTTACAAAACATTTAGATTTTAAATATTAGGGAATGCTTTTCTTTTGAACTTTCTATTCAATGTAAATGTACTATGATTTCCACAAAAATATTAAGCAGGACAACTGTTTTCAACATTGATAATAATAAAGAGTGTTTCTTGAGCACAAAATCAGCATATTAGAATTATTTCTAAAGGATCATGTGACACTGAAGACTGGGGTAACGTCCAGCACAGGAATAAATTACAATTTAAAATATATTGCAATAGAAAACATTTATTCTAAATTGTAATATTTTTCAATATTACCGTTTACTGTACTGTTAATCAAATGCAGAATGAAAAGAACAAACTTTTGAGCAGACCTTTGTCTGTGCAGAAGTCTGTTAACAGTAATGAGAGGGAACACTATGGTAACTTTATATGGCCTTTGACTTATGGGACACGTTAACTCGTTGTTTTTCTTATAGACAAGGATCTAGAGATCAAATATAACTGTCAGTCCACCACACAGAGGCTCATTACTGGAAGAAATATGCCTCTCTCAGTTTGTGGGGCATGTTCTGCTGGGTAATTTATGGACTAGTGTGTTCGGTAAGTTGTCTTTCCTGCACACAAGCTCATCACGTGATTGGCTGAGATGATCTCTGCTTCCCAAGTCATAGATCAGGCAGCTGTTTTCTCCTTTCATCACCGATGAAAGGACACATAATAACATCTTTGAGTGGCAGGCAGCATCCACTACTAAAGATCACCCTGCTGGAAACATAGCAGCCTTTAGGTTGTTGAAGCTGATTTTTGGAACATAGTAGCTGGTTTGTTGCCGGCAAGAACATTTATAGCGGAGAAAAATATTTTCCTGGAAATGTACGATTTGAATTATGCCACATTTTAAGCCAATCGACTGAACGGTAAATGCCATGTGACTAATCGTAAGACTATTCAATGGATCCCAAGCAGCTTAGCCTACGTGACATAGTTGACTTAAAGGGGTCATGAACTGCCTTTGTTTTTTATTTTGTACTGTTCTCTGAGGTCCGCTTATAATGTTATCAGGATTTCTACATCAAACACATCTTAATTTAAAAGTAATAGGCTATTTTCTGTCCTGTTTTTGACCCCCCACCCCCAGAACGCTCTGCTTGAATAGGTGTGGCGGATTGTAGACTCAGAAGTAAACGCCACTGCTATGATTGGCTAACAGTTGTGTATGTTTGACAGCCTACATCCTTCACAGATGGGCTGCTGTGATTTAGGTTAAAAATGCATAAATACTCAGTACATATCAAACAATCTGTAAGAAGAGACAAAGCAATAGTGATCACGTAATGAAAAAAGTAACTCACACTTGTGTGGCGTGACATCGGATCCAATATAGTCAGCACATCATCGTCGTTTAGTTTCAATCTTTCTGAAAATCCTGCATTGAATTGTGCTCTTGTCATTTACCTACTATGTGTGGTCGTGCGCAAATCAGTGGGCGGGGCTAAACAGGCAGTGATTTAGAATCAGGCGTTGATCTTCATCTGTCGTTTTGGCAGATTGGCTTCAATATAAGTTGTATTTAGACTAACGAGAACGTTCTGAGTTCTGAAACTTACAGAAAGTTTTTATAGTTTATGGTTGAGGAGATTCCCCCCTTCTATGTAAAGCGCTTTGAGTGTCCAGAAAAGCGCTATATAAATGTAAGGAATTATTATAGCACAATGACCTCCTATATGTCAAAAGATCAAGGGAATTTTGATTTATTGATCTTCATGGCTTCAATATAAGTTGTATTTAGACTAACGAGAACGTTCTGAGTTCTGAAACTTACAGAAAGTTTTTATAGTTTATGGTTGAGGAGATTCCCCCCTTCTATGTAAAGCGCTTTGAGTGTCCAGAAAAGCGCTATATAAATGTAAGGAATTATTATAGCACAATGACCTCCTATATGTCAAAAGATCAAGGGAATTTTGATTTCTCAGTTCATGACCCCTTTAACCTGGTTGATAAATATGTTTAACCCTTGTGCTATGTTGAAAACCCTATAGCACTTTTGTTTTTCCTGGTCAAAAATGACCGGCCTTTTAAAAAAAGCTAATTTTTACAGGCCAGCCATTTTTGACCGGGAAGTGTGGCTTTGTTCCATTTTTCACAAGATAAAAGCATTTCAAAATAAACTTCATGTTTAAACATTAAAGGACAATTGTGCGATAAACAGTGCTATTTTTTTTTAGATCAATGAGGCCTATGATCAATCAGTTCCAAAAAGAAATACAAAACCTGTCATAATTGAAAAAACAAATAAGCTGCCAGATTGAATCCAATATTTGGTGATAATATAGCATCATGAGAATTTTATCAACTTTTTTTGAAGGCAGGTCATTTTTGACTGTGAACACCACAAGTGTAACAAGGTGGAAAAAAAATTGGGAAGTTGTCATACCCTGTGTGAACAAGGTCAGTTTTAGCCAAGTTTTAGCCCAGTGTGATAACATTATTTTTTGGAAAAAGAAAATCCTCTCTGGGTCAAAATGACCCGAACACCACCAGAAGCTTAAAGCGCATAAACCATCTCAAACCAATTAATCGCCATAAATACCCTATTTTATCTGGATTTCCCAGCATGATAGACACTTACTAGGCACTCTGTTGATGGCTCGCAGGGGCCTGAGCACTCGCACAGTCCGGATGGCTGACAGGCTGGCGTTATGACCGTCCAGTGAATACTCCATCATCCTGAAGAAAGCAGAGCAGAGGAAACATACTGCAAGCGTCAGACACTAAAGGTCAATCTCCATAACCTTTCTTTCTGTCGATCTTACATGAGGATAATGAAAGAAAAGAGGTTTTAAAAGAGAAGTCTTCATGCATTCATCACTCTTGTCAATTTAAAGGTCATTTTAAACAACAAGGGCAATGTTTTTTTAAATGGTAAATGAATCAGAGCGCTGGGAAATCTATTTTTCCAATCTAAATCTATCAGTAATTCTATTTCCCAACTGATGGCCTGTAAATCGAGTGGTGGGTCCCTCTTGACCAGCTTTACCGTGGTGATAATGGTTGAATGCATGAGTGACAAGTGAGAAAAAAGGTGGGATTCCTCACCCTGCCATGACAATGAAGAAGTCCAGGCGGTTCCATGTGTCACCAAGGTAACACTTTGATCCAAAAATCCCCAGGGCTATCATTTTGATGACCATCTCCACGGCAAAGAAGGCGAAGATGCAGTCATCAAACACCTGTGGACACAATTACACAGCAAAATCCCCAGAGTTAAATCAACTCTGCTCAGAGTACATATTGTCCCAATCTACAAAGTGTTAAAGTAACACTGAAGCCGAGTTAAAGTTAATGGGATAATTAAGCAATTAATTAATTGATGAGTGAGCATTATTAAAGAAAACCCGCTGTTAACAATGTTGAGAATGAACAACTACTGCTCAGGCTTTTAGACATGAAAACGTATCATAAAATCCTCAACAGTGGTAACTCTGCTTCAGTGTTACTTTAACACTCTGTAGATTGGGACAATATGTACTCTGAGCAGAGTTGATTTAACTCTGGGGATTTTGCTGTGACATAGTAGGGCAGACATTTTACTACATTTAAACAATTATATATCAACAGTGTTGTGAAGGTTACTTTGGAAATGTAATAGGTAACAGATTACAAGTTACCCTATTTAAAATGTAAGAAGTAGTGTAACTACTTCAACTACTTTATTAAAGTAATGTAACAGATTACATTTTGATTACTTTTCTAAATTTCTAACGGATGTTTTCAACTGTTTATCATTTTGAAACATTTAACCCAGGCAGGATAATCCTTACAGTAGTACTCAACACTGATTACTGTCAGACTTTCAGAATCCTTCATCATTAAGATTATAATAATCTTGGCACAGCCACCACAAAATCAGACTTCAGCACCTCTTTTTACTTTGAGATTGTTCTGAGGTTAAATACAGATTTAAAATCATAACAAGAAATAATTTAATAGCTATGATACTGTTTTTGAAATCAAATCTTTGCATATCTATGACAGGAAACACTGGCATCTAACAATGCCTTGGGAAAAAAAACAGTTAATCTTAAAAAATAAAGCATATACATAAACCAAAATAGGAAGAAAAACAGTTATTAAATAAGCATGTGTTCTATTCTGTGTCCTGAAACATTGGTGTCTCATATTTTAGAGCAGTCAATGCAATTTGGGAAATAAATCAATCAAATCCATATGTGTGTGAAAATATTCAGATGTAACCCCCTTTGGAATCGTTAACATTTCCATAAGTGTAATTTAATTACACATTTTTTTCTCAGCAACTGTTACAGTTACATTTATTTTGTAATTAAATTACGTAAATTCCGTTACATGTAACTAGTTACTCCCCAACACTGTATATATGCTTTTGCATTTGATTCCCTCAATAAATGCTGCTTTCGCTCACAAATCTTTCGTTCTCTATCGCAAAATAACTTTTTCCCCAAAAACCTAGATTTTTCTTAGAAAAAAATTAGCTTTCCCCTAAAAAAAAATTGGCATTTTCTTGCAAAATGTTAGTGTTCTCTCTCAAAAGTACTGCTTTTCGACTAATTCCCTCGGAAAACATTGCACTCTTTTGCAGAAGTATCCATACCCAGAGCTGTAGAGAGAGAGAGAGTTGTGACAATTGTAAAAACTGTAAACAGTTTTTTACAGCAATGGCGGATCGTGGAGCCGCTCAATAGTTCCCAGAAGTTAGCGCTGATACTATCAGCGCCGTAGAGACGCAGCAGAAGAGACCGCTGTGATGAACTTTTAAAAGGTAAGACATTTATAGAACAAAATAGTATATTATCAGCACAGCTAATCAAATTACCCTGTGCATTAAAACAGATGATTATTAGATTATTCCTCACTTAATTAGTAGATTTACGGGATGTTATTAATTCTCTTCATGCAGTTTCATCCATCGTTGTGTAATTTAAAAGTGATTTTGTTGGTGGGGAGTTATTAAATAGACTTAGATATATTGCAAAGGATGCAGATGGAACAAAATAAAAATGAAAAGTTTAATGTAGGTGAGCATTTTTCATTTCAGAATCATGCTAGGCTAAATGTGCAAAAATGGATTATATACCACTACTATATTATAGAAGTAATTACAGTAAACCTGTACATTATTACTGTATTTTATACTTAAACGTCTTAGCTACTAAAGAAGCACTGTGTTGAAGGAGCAGATGCCACAGGACTGCAATGTGATGGAGCATTGAACAAGATTAGTTTTCCCTTAATAAAATATCTTCATTTATTTGGAACGAATTTTCTAAGACAACAAACTTAACAGTTACCATGAGATTAGTAAAACGACAATGAACAGGTATATTTGTGATTGAACAAGCAAGTTGTAAGAACAAACACAAACACACACACATACACACACACATATAATTTGTATTATAATATTTATATAGAGAGGCTGAAGTTACCTTGGCAGAAGACCACGATGTCGTTTATATAGCAAACACGGACTTTTATCACGGTAACTTCAGCCTAAAATATGTTAACAAGGCAGGTAAGGATAGCTGACCACATTAATCCTCAAATATTAGCGGATTTTATCTTTTAAAAACAACACTGATATAACTACATATATATACTACGTATACATGTAAACATTCTTTTATAAATAATGTAAATAAATTATTTTATTGTCTACTAATTACCAAAAATCACAGTTCTGTCTCTCCAACTCAATGTATTTCAATTGCCCGCTATGAACTTCCTGGAACTATTTGAGGTCTACGTGAATCACGTGACGATCGAGCGTTTTGGACTTCTGTTGACGCAACTCTCTCTTTCCATGGCTCTGTCCATACCTAAATTTAACAACTACCTGACTAACTATTAATAAGCAGCAAATTAGGAGTTTATTGGGGCAAAAGTCGTAGCTAACAGTGAGAATTGGTCCCCAAACTAAAATGTGACCAATTTTTTTGACAAAAGTATTACATTTACCCTGAGAAACCTTGAGATCACGCACAAAAGCATTGAAATATAGATTTTCCTCCCACCTCATATTATTTTCATCACAAAAGTTTTTCAGGTGAATGCAAAGTTTTTTGGGTGAATGCAAAATTTTGAGAGAATGCAAAAGCATTGAAGTATAATTTTTCTTCCCTTCTCTTTTTTCCCCCCATCACTATGCCCTTTTATGGGCTCTGTACAGATTCCTGTTCCTGGCACTGGAAAAATGAAAAATGGGCAGAGAACTTTAAATGTGCGTATATAAATTTGGGCACCATTTGAGCAGTTTACAGGGAGAGAGTGAGAAGATCAGCTATGATTCATTTTGTGTAGTATTTTCAGCTCTGGCCTCAGCCGACCCGATCTCCTAAATCCTGCTGATGCTGATGTCAGGCTCTTCTGGACATAAAAATTTCCCACAGTACCATATATAAACCCAGCTCACTTTGGTGGGAGCGTGGGCAGGATTACAGAGAATTACAAAACTACAGAAAAATGCCTCAGTCTCTGATATCTGGCAAAGGTTCCAGTGACCCCTAAACCAGTGTGTGCCACAAAGCATGGGCGAAAAGCCAACTCTGTGCTGAGACAGTCCTAAAAACAGATATTGGACACAAAAATAATAAAATAAGCAAATAAAATAAAGGCTAAGGAATAATTTTAGGACCAATGGAGATGATATGAATTCTGATGTACAGAGGCCCCAAAAAAGTACTTGGAGATCAAATCCACACCAGTTTTATTTTATTTTTATTGAGATACTATTAATATTTTAAATTAATTTTAAATAATGATTTAATTAATTACTTTAATAGTTTCCATTTTAATCTTAAAGTAATTTAGCTGTTTTTTATTCTTTCTTTTTTTACATCTATATATTTTCTTTTTAATATTTTCTTTTACTTCAGTTAATATTTAATTTATTTCTAGTAACGACAATGTTTTTAATGGTTTTAGAATCAGTTTTACTTAACTATAACAACCGTGATCCACTCTTAAAATGCATGAATGCCATTAGGTTTCAAATGATAAAAAAGAAACGTGGAGCATAGTGGAACATGTGATGAAGCATGCCTAGTATTCTGCAAGTACACCTGCTTCGTCTTCATAAATTCACAAAAAAATCACCTTGAAACTAGTTTGTTTTGAAGTAATGCATCAGAGACGTGAAGTTAGTACTGAGAAAAGCTCTAGCAGCATTTGATGGTTTTATGTTATTTAATGCAATGAAATACCTGCGGTTTTAAGTGTCCAAATGCTTTTATGGAATACTGTATCTTGGAATGACGTTTGAAAAAACATAATCACATTACAAGCTTTCTCTCGTTTGCATAATGGAGAGAGACTTACCTGTAGGACGACACACCACTCAGACTGGCACTTGAGGTCCTCACATGGATGGAACATGCCCAGAGTCACACAGTTCAGCAGAATCACCAGCATGCTCACATGCTCAAACCATGTGCACAAGAGTCAAGGGAATATATCACAGAGATTCATTGTTGCTGGATTGTGTTCTGTCAATTGCAAAGCACTGTTGCTCCACAAAACATAAAGATACATAATATTGATTTTGTTGATCCCTTATACTTTGCTCAGAGCAAATGAGTTTAACAATCCGGAGCAAACTAAAAAATCCAAGGACATTATTGCAAAACATTCCTTCCTTCTGACTGAATTTGAATTAAACTTCTAAAATACGATTAAGAAGTGCAAAGCCTATTATTCACAGATGAAATAAATTAAGTTTTATGTTTTTTCTCTTTTAATTTGAGTTGTTTGGTTTCCTCAAGGCCAAAACACAAACACAGAGGTAAAAGTAAATGAAAATAAGCTACACAAAGTTGTTAAAGGTCTGGAGGTGTCTTAAAAGTTTAACAAACCACAGGCACTCATTTTGGACTGATGAACTCCAACACCCGCTGACTGCCAAAGACAATTTTCAATATAACTCCGGCTGGATTCATCTGAAAGAAGGAAGTCTAGGATGGATTGAGGGTGAGTAAATAATGGGCTAATTTTCATTTTTGGGTGAACTATCCCTTTAAGACATCAATAAACTATACAGTCATAGCAGCCAGGTCAAGCATCCAAGCAGGCATAAAATGTTCTTCTCACTGCTTAACTGCTGAAATATTTAGAGAGTAAAACAGGAACAGGGTTATGTCTGTTTCAGCTGCATGACTATTGGTTCCAGCGCTGTCTGAGATGTCAGATGGCATAAGAGCTGTCAGCGGCGAGGCCGAAACAAGCGGCTGCTGCCGCTGTCACCAAGCATGACCCATTAGCACCTCCGTCGGCGCTGTCCGTTACATTGAAGATCACGACCAAAGTGTCCATCATGACCAGCGGCCGTCACACATCACGCACACCACAAATCAGCACCAACAACACCCACAAACCCTTGCGGATGCCATGTTCTCGAGATCATTTCTAATCATCTGGCCCGACTCGTACACAATCTTTAAAAAATCTGAGCTTAAACCCTCCAAGAAGACGATCAGCTTTCTTAGGGTTGAAATGACAGCCTTGTTACACCAAGGGCTTCACAACTCATGTTTTATGCAGGTCTGCTCATCTAGATGGGGTAAATGATGGGCACTTGCTATGCGACACACAAATGAGAAATCTGAATAACGCTCATTTCCATAAGCTATCACAGAGGTTTGGATTGTGGGCGTCGTAACGTTGTATTCCCTCACAATGGAGCGGTGACTGAAATCAGGTGCTGATGACGAACCCTGAGGATTTTTAAGTCATCAAGCCTCTGTCGGAGCTCCACAAACAAAAGAAAAGGAGTAAAGAAGAAAGAACAGAAGGGGAAAAAAACACTCTAAATCTCTAAAAACACTCTTTGAAGATTTTCTATTCAGATGGCACACAATGGAGAAAATTAGGCTTAGACATGATTTCCCAAGATGGACAGTGGCCACCCTGGGGGCCGTGATAAATCAGGTTGTGGAATGCTTTGATTAGTGTTTCTTAGATGCTGGACCGAAGATCAAGTCTCAGTCATGCTTCCAAGCTGATCCAGGTCCCAAATCCCACTTCACAGGCCTTTCTGACTTGCTCAAAGATGTTTACGCTCTCCAGGGAAAGGCGGGAAATGGAGCAGACTTTAATAAGTTATGTCAGAGGTTAAGAGACCTGAAGGGCACACAGAGCAGTTAGGGTAACTCATGGTGAAAGACACGCTACAGTTCCCACTTACGGTCTACAGTCTGAGCGGCTTAAATTGATAATCTGTCACTTTATAAATAATGGTCTATTCTCATGAAAGGAACTAGCCAGTTTTCCAGCTCTACGGTCTATCCATCCCTTTAAAAGGAAATGCATTACTACTAAAATAAGATTTTTCCAACCACCAGTCGAGCCAACTCAAGGGAGGAGGCAAAATGTCATGGAAACCCCAACCATTGTAAAGACTGAAAAGATTGTTTTCCTTTCATCAACCTACTCCTTCAATATTCCAACATTCTTCTATTTTACTACATTGACTTATATTTAAGTCTGTTGTGATCACCAGTGTTGCATTTATTTGATCAAAAATACATTAAAAAATGCAATATTGTGAAATATAATTTAAAATAACATGCTAAAATGTTTTCTATTTGGAAATATTTTAAATGCAATTTATTCCTGTGATGGCAAAGTTGAATTTTCAGCACTTTAGTCTTTAGTGTCACAATTCTTCAGAAATCATTCTAATATGCTGATTTGATGTTTTTTTTTTTTTAATTCTTCTTATTATCAGTGTTGAAAACAGTTGCAGCTTAATATTATTTGTGGAAACATACTTTTTTTCTGGATTATTTGGTGAATAAAAAGTTTAGAAAAGAGTTTATTTGAAATAGATGTAAAAGTCTTTAGTGTCAATTTTGATCAATTTAAAGTGTCCTTGCTGATTTAAAGAATGAAATTCTTTAAATAAAACTGGGCAACAATTTAGTATAGGGACCAATTCTCCCTATTAACTAGTTGCTTATTAGCATGCCTATTATTAACATATTGACTGATTATTAGTACTTATAAAGCACATATCCTACCTGATACCTAAACTTAACAACTACCTTACTAACTATTAATAGGCAGTAATAAAGAGTTTATGGAGGCAAAAGTCATTGTTAATAGTTTGTTTATAGTGGTCTTTAGTGTCACAATTCTTCAGAAATCATTCTAATATGCTGATTTGATGGGTTTTTTTTTTTAATTCTTCTTATTATCAGTGTTGAAAACAGTTGCAGCTTAATATTATTTGTGGAAACATACTTTTTTCTGGATTATTTGGTGAATAAAAAGTTTAGAAAAGAGTTTATTTGAAATAGATGTAAAAGTCTTTAGTGTCAATTTTGATCAATTTAAAGTGTCCTTGCTGATTTAAAGAATGAAATTCTTTAAATAAAACTGGGCAACAATTTAGTATAGGGACCAATTCTCACTATTAACTAGTTGCTTATTAGCATGCCTATTATTAACATATTGACTGATTATTAGTACTTATAAAGCACATATCCTACCTGATACCTAAACTTAACAACTACCTTACTAACTATTAATAGGCAGTAATAAAGAGTTTATGGAGGCAAAAGTCATTGTTAATAGTTTGTTTATAGTGATAATTGAAGCTTAAAATAAAGTGTGACCAAAAACTGTATTGCATTCTTATACTAGAGTGCATCTCATCTGACAAAAACCTGTGTAGTGCAAGATAACTCATCAATAATTCTGGTCCATTTATCCTTGTAGAGAAATAACAAATGTGTGTTTCTGGTAAAGGTTCATTTTAGCAATTTACATAATGTTATTTTGAGTGATTACACTCTTCTATATGATTGGTCTCTGCCCACATACAGCAATATGATTGCATTCTAAGTGAGTCTGATTCATTTATTGATAATCGTTCATCTTGTTCATGATATGATGCATTACTCACTGCCATATACTGTACAAACACTTTCCCTGAATTTTAGCAGCAAAAACTGATTCCTTGTCAAAACGGATCTTATTTTTTATTTGACCATCAACAGATCTCCTATGTGATAATCTTTCAAAACCTATGGGTATTAGGGCATCCAGCAGCATGAACGCCTACTAGCGACCAACAATACAGCGACCTGGTGACCTGCAGTGATAAAACTGCTATCACTGTGAACGGGGCATTACATTAATTTTACTTGCTCTCTATACAGCAACAACACAGAAAACTTGCCTCGTCTGAGTGTTTTTTCACCTGAAGACCTCCAGTTATTGTTTTCAGATCCGCTCTAGTAATGGGGCTTACGGTAGTAATTTACTGGGCTTTCTGCAACATCACAGGCGCAACTTTGATGGCTAGATGGAACAGTGTTTGTGCAAGAGATTGTCTGTCCTTGGAAGTACTCATCCTGCCAACTAAGTGGGACACAGCCACGGCAGACTGGCTCCTTTATCATGCTCTCTTGTGAACATCTGCCATATGGCTGCGTTACAAAATGTGTCTGTGTGTTAGAACAAACCTTTAGCATCGTTTTTCTGTGGAAGCCGCAGCTACCGCCCTGATTGAAACCCACTAACATGTAAATGCATGACTCACTGGAAAACTATTGAGCTTAAATCCCTGTTATTCTAGCAGTTGGCATCGTGTCGCTGAATAAATAAGGCATTTAGTTGGCAATTAAAGCAATAGTAATAAGACATAATTAACAGAGGTGTTCATTTACACATTCTAGGTGCTAATGTGGGTTTTTGGCACTGCTGTTCAGAATATCAGCAGCAGTTCTTTTATTTCTTTTCTCTGATAGCTGCTGATATTATAACAGCATGACAGTTTGGTAAAAAAAATACAGAAAAAATTGTTCTGGCAGAGGTGAGTAATTTTTGCTTCACTTTTGATTTCTTTCTTCCAGTGAATCAAATATTTTTAATCTGTTCACAAAAAAAGAGATTTGTTCAGTGAACTGCATATTACATTATTGCACCAGTAGTAAGCAAGACTGAAGTTGGATACATTACTCTTAATGTACATAAGCTATTCCAAATTTAGTCTCACATTTCAAAAGTGACAGTTTATATATCAAAATGTTTGAATATTTGGTTTGTAACTTTTGTTGAGTAAAATTAGATCAGTGGTTCTCAACCTTTTTTCCACTGGGTCCAAGTGCACGCATATTATTTACATATTACATCACCAATACAAACCAACCAGATTTATAATATTATAGCCTACATATTATATCTAAGTTGCAGTCTGTAAGACGCACACAAAAGCGTGACTTGACGCGCGACATTGCAGAAAATGTGCGTTCACAAATGTAGCCTATGTTGATCCAAATATGGAAAGCACTTTCGAATTTAATAATCTGAGGTTCTCTCCAGAGATGTTTTGCCACATTTCTGCAATTAAAGGGGTCATATGACGTTGCTAAAAAGAACATTATTTTGTATATTTGGTGTAATGAAATGTGTTTATGCGGTTTAA